GAGACTGCAACGAAGCCAAGATTCATCTTGTCTGCTGGATTCCTTAGGTAGAGAACTTTACTAATTGGCTTTTATATGTATGTGAATGTTTCTGTAAAGTGCCCTGAGACAACTTTGTTGTGATTTGGCGCCATATAAATAAACTGAATTGAACTGAATTGAAAATGATGGAAGATGATCGTTAAATATGGTTACAGCAAATAAAATAAATAAAATACAGAAGTATTCCTTCCACCTCCTGACAACATCACTGGTTGAGGTAAACAACATCCCACCTTCACTGAACACAGTGTTAGTAAAGCACTGCTTTCCCCTCCTCAGCCACCTGATGGATTGCCAGAATCTCCTCAGAGCTGATTGAGAGTCTCTATCCAAGGCTTCACTGAACTCCTCCCTTATCTGAGTTTCTGACTCTGCAACAGCCAAGGCTGTGGACCGCTTGGCCCCCTGGTACTCCTCATCTTCCTCCAGAGTTCCGCCAGCCAACAAGGCCCAATAGGACTCCTTGTTCAGCTTGATAGCCTCCCTATCCTAGGTGTCCACCACTGAGTTTGAGGATGGCCACCACAAGAAACACCAACAAATTTGCACTCTCAGCTTAAGGTAGCCACTTCAATAATTGAGGTGCGGAACATGGCCCACTCAGACTCAATATCCTTCCTCAGCTGGGATGTGGTTAAATCTCTCCTAGAGGTGTGAGTTGATCTTTCTGACAGTTTCATCTGCCAGACCTTCCCAGCAAACCCCCACTACACATTTGGGTCTACAGTGTCTGACCGGCATCTTCTCCCGCCATCTGATCCAACTCGCTACCAGGTGGTGATCAGTTGACAGTTCAGCTCCTCTCTTCACCCGAGTGTCCAAAACCAACAGACACAAATCAAATGACACAACTACAAAGTCAATCATTGATCTACGACCTAGGGCATCCTGGTGCCAAGTGCACTCATGGACACCCTTATGTTTGAACATGGTGTTCGTGATGGACAAAATATGACTAGACAGAAGTCCAACAACAGAACACCACTCAGGTTCAGATCAGAGAGGCCGTTCCTCCCAATCACGCCCGTTCAGGTCACACTGTTGTTACCCACGTGAGCCTTGAAGTCCCCCAGCATAATAAAGAAGTCCCCAGCTGGCGCACCTTCCAGCACCCCTGCCAAGGACTCCAAGAAGGCTGGATATTCTGAACTGCCATTTGACGTGTAGGCACAAACAACAGTCAAAGCCCGTTCCCCCACCCAAAGGTGCAGGGACGCCACTCTTTCATCTACTGGGGAAAACGCCAACACACAGGCACCAAGTCAGGGGGCTAAAAGTAGACCCACACTAGCTCAGCGCCTCTCACCATGGGCATCTCCAGAGTGGAATAAGGGCCACCCCCTCTGAAGGAGATTGGTTCCAGAGTCCATGCTGTGCACTGAGGTGAGTCCATCTGTATCTAATTGGTACCCCTCAATCTCATGCACAAGCTCAGGTTCCTTCCACACCAGAGAGATTACATTCCTTGTCCCAAGAGCAGCTTTGTTAAGCCAGGGTCAGAGTGCCAAGGCCCTCGCCTTTGGCCACAGCCGATGGAGTACCTGACTCGTATGGCCCCTCCTGCTTCAAAAGCAATCATCCTCCACTCTAGTTGATGCCCCCAGTAGACAGTTGGGTGTATTAGTAGAAGGATGTCAGAAATTCATCTGCCAAAAAAAGACAAAGAATAAGGCCAAAGAGGACATATATGGATGCAGTTAGAGGGGACATGGAGGTAGAAGGAGTGAGGGCAGAGGACGCAGATGACAAAATGAGATGGAAAACGATGACTCGCTGTGGAGGCCTCTAAAATTGGAACAGCTTAAACAAGAAAGACGATTTAGGCTTTGGCAGACAACGCTACTGTGATCTTAGGTCCTCATATAGACCTTATATTATCTTCTCATCATATTGCAAATCTTTAGTACATAAGATTTAAGGAGTTTTGGGGGTGAGATTAGCCATGGTCCACATGCATCAAATGGCTTGGACCCCAGTATTAATTGCTTGCACTTCTAGTTTTTGTTATTTGTTATTTCAACAAATGTGTTTTGTCATCAGACATGAGCGGTGTCATGGCATGCCTTAGTTTGTTTGACTGGTACACTAGAAAAGAGGGGGAAAAAATGCAAATGCTAGTATTTAGTATTCCAGTAGGAGGGTCACATCATTGAGTGCTTTGATAAGTACTGACGTCTTGATTCTTCACGTCTCTTATTTCCTCTTTAAGCCCTTGTTAATTTCTTCAACTTCTTGTACTTTTTCCTGATTTTACAGTTGCTTGGGTTATTCTACATCACCTTATAATCTACCTGTTTTTTTTTGTTGTTGTTACATTTCCTTTTGATTGTCCTTTTGGTTGCCATTTTATTTTAACTTGTAAAAAAAAAAATCTTTGCATATTTTATGATTGTCTATTGTGTTGTCATTGTTATCTACTGTTGTTATCACTCTGTTAAAAATTCAGGTCTCTCTTGTAAATGAGTCCCCGAGGCTCAGTGAGATTAACCTGTATAAATAAAGTTTGAATGAATCTAGCACCATTCTCGTCTTCTGTAGCTTGTGGTTTGATGGGAATTGAGTAATATTTTAAGGGTTGCTTAATGTCCTTATATACCAGGGCATGGTAATTCGAGTTGGCTTAAAGGAAAGCACTGAGCTTCTTTAATTTTGAAAATCTATTGCTTTTCCTCTGAAATTTTTTTCTCAATTTAGATTTGGAAGTAGAGCAAACATATTTGAAGTGGCAACTGGCTGTTAATAAATGAGTGAAAAAATATAAAAATGTAAACAAACTTTTTAAATAACAGTAGCAGGTTTAGATTTGAATGTCTTGTAATGTATTTGTCTCTCAGGTACCCATATGAGTCCACTCAGATCCAGTACAGCTACAGTCTGTGTCCTTCACACTCAGATGCTCAGTTTGTTTCCTGCTGGGTGGAGTTCGGACACGAGAGACTGGAGGAGTACAAGTGGAACTACCTGGACCAGTACATCTGCTCTGCAGGCTCAGAGGACTTCAGGTACACACACTTTGAATTTAGAAAGGGAACATACAGTATACTGAGCCTATTAATCACAGTCTGTTTAAAAGCCTTTTAATCCCCCATTCATTGAAATCTGATGTGTCAAAGCCAGGAAACCACTAAAACATGCAGTATGGTGTTCCTCTAGGACCAGGGTTGGTAACCACTGCCTTAAGATACTGTCAAATGTATTGCTGCAAAATTAAATGAAAATTAAACATTATTACCATGTTTGCTAGATAGTCCAGTTTCAGAAACTAAAATTACAGGAGCACTGAACGTCTTTCTCCACCCACCCACTTTTGAATCCTTAAAGTGTTGGATTCACTTCCTGGCCACGCAGTCATGTCACTTACACGAAAAGCAGCTTCTTTTATTTTTATATCAATATAAAATTATAATAAATACCCACCTTATTCCTATGCACCATGGTGCCTTTCATGAATTATGGGCATTGACCAGAACCTGCAATTGCTTATGTGTGAACAGTACAAGCTAATGTAGTTTCTCCAAGCGTTGTGGATTTAAAAACTCAGGGCAGCTGCGGCTGAGTGGTTAGAACAGTCGTCCTCCAATGCAAGAGTTGGTGGTTTGATTCCACCAGCAGTCACATGCTGAAGTGTCCCTGGGCAAGACACTGAACCCCTCACTGCCTCCAGTGTGTGTCCCATGAGTGTATGAATGTGATAAAGCACTGATTAATCTTTATATAGCTCTAATAGAGTGCTGTATGAATGGATAAATGAGGGCACAGATTGTGTTGTAAAAAGCTTCGAGTGTCTCGATAAGATAGAAAAGCGCTATATAAGTACAGTCTATTTACCATTTAATTTAAACATGTCACCCACCACCTGTAAGAGCTCAAACAGGACAATATGATCATACCGCTGCCTTCCAGTGGTGGGATGTAACTAAGTACAAGTACTTTGTTACTGTACTTAAGTACATTTTTCATGTATCTGTACTTTACTTAAGTACAGTTAAACATGGGTACTTTTAACTTTTACTCCACTACATTTTACATTAGCTGTACTTTCTACTACACTACATTTCTATAATGCGTTACATTACATTCACTTTGCAGTTTTTTGATGTGTTCATTAGTTTGAAAGTAACTGTTCTGTGAAATTATCTTAAATAAAATAGATACAGGTTCAGGGAAAGGTCGGAGCAATGAATGAAAACTCTCAGGCTGTTTTCTGCTAGAATAATAAGTGTCATTTATTAAACCGCCACAGATACAGCAAAGCAACGTACATTCAGTACAAATCAATCATTGATTTAAAGCCCCTCACCGCGACACCAGACCGAGGAAGCCGTTTTCAGTCCGAGTAGAAAGGTAACATCAATTAGGCTGGGCATCGGATCTAGACCCGCAGCAGACTTCAACTGTTATTCTGAGTGTTACACTTTTATACTCCCCTCTGACTGGGTGACGTGCGGGCAGAGCAAAACATGTTTTCCATCATCAAGGCAGTTTGTACAGCAGAGCGATGGCTCATAAAAACATGTCTTTCAAACCCAAGGTCGTGGGTGGATGAAAGACCTGTTTACAGCAAACGCCGGGTCGTTGTAATCGTAAGACGGGCCAGATCTTTTGGTAAGAACACTCCCGGAGGCTTATTTTCATTCCTTCGAAGCACCGCACCTTCTGCAGCACAAGGCCTGGTTTGCACAGATAAGTTGCATATAAAATGAGTATAAAATAAGTATAAATTGACATAAAAGCATCAAAATAATCATTCTTATATCATTCCACCCTTGCCTTTTATGGCAATTTAGACATTTAATTCTGAAAATCACTCCCCTGAAATTGAAATTGTTCTGGGAATAACCTCATAACTTCATCCTGAATAAACTCACTCACAAAGTTAAGAAAATCCAGACGAGTTTCAAACCCCTGGAACGTTTGATTTATTACATTCCCACTGACACGATAGTTGTAAATCAAAACATCTGGTAGGTGTTCAGGTTCGAGTGTGACTATAGTTTTTTCTCTACCAAACTATGTATCCATTGTCCCTATAATTATTTTCATTACCAAGCTGTATTATAAATTTTCTGATTAATTCTTTTTTAACCCTCCTAATATAAAAACAAGTTCCCAAATTACACAAAGTTAATACAGAGATACATAGATCAAACTAGTTATTCTTCTTTTCACTAAACAAGCAAAGGAAATACTGCATATATTTTGCGCCGTAGATGACATTCCTGTGAATATATCCCACCAATGGTGAGCCGACGCCTGCTCTATTAGCTTAGCCACATGTAAAACCTTTCCTTGAGCAATGCAGGTGGACACTGTTAGATCAGACACGTTTAGACTTATGAGATTCAATCATTCATTTCAGCTCTGTAGACCCATTCAATGCGCATTTGAAACGGTCTAGGGAGACTTACCAGGGTACGTGCAAAGTTTGCCATTGTACCTCTGTTAGTCGAGTGGTGGAACTATAATTAGTTAATTGATAAGTCTGGTTGTTCCAAGTCCACAGATGTACACCATACACACATCCAGAGAAAGGCACCTTAGGTAATTGAGGATGACTTTTTATTGTTGCTCTAGCTAGTTCATGAGTCCAATCACACAATACCTCGTCTTTGATTAAACATGGGTTAACATGACCTGTTGCAGAATACATACCACTCCTTTATCAGCCGTCCCGCATAATTTCATGTCATAGGTGAGATTTGTCTGTGGCTCAAACCACTCACCTTGTACTTTTAAAAACCTATATCCTTGTACCGTTATTATAGGTAAAACATGATACTTGCACATTGTAGGTGCATTGCTCACAAGATACTGAACCCAATGTCTTTCACACATATATTCAGTACACTTTGTCAATTCAGGTTTTACAACTACCCAATATGTACTAGAAATGTTCCACAGCTTCCTCCACTCGTGGTGATTGGATGTGGTCACCACCCTCTGGAAACGCTCCTTCTGCAGCTGTGCATGGAAAAAATTGCAAGGTACACAGGATCCAGTTTAAAGCTTCAGTTATGTTGGAGAGCACTTCTTCTGTGCTCCCCCACATCTTCAACTGCCAGTTTATTTCTTTTAGCAGTATTTTGGCCATTTCTTCTTGAGTCATGACAACTGATGGCATCCAGACTCCAACTTGGGTAACTGTCAACGAAGCATGTTTCCTTCTCCTTTGTTTAATTGGCAGTAAAGTCAAACTTTGTTCCCCTTTTTTTCATCCAGTTTACATGTACCGTCACTCTGTTCTTGCTTGTATTTTTCCAACCAAACGTGAACACCTGATCCTCCTCCAAGACACGTCCTGGTGTTGCTGATGAGACGTTGACCATCAAGACCATGGCACCTGCGACAAGGCACGTGATGCCCAAACAGCTTGCACTCCCATCTGACGGGCGCCTGCCACCAGCTTCTCCCATGTTGGCTCCTGGGCGGCCCCGATTGTCCAGTCGGCAAAGATGAAGGAAACATCAAGCTGTAGAGATAAAAAATACTACTTACAGATAGAGGAAGAATCATTAGTTTTCTCTTATATAACATTTGTTTACAGGTACATTCACCCATTTTTATTCTCCTGCCTTTAGGATATTGCAGACCCAGACCAATTTTTATAACTTGAATTTAACCTGAAATCAATGTCACTGGCTCTAGAGTCCTCAGATCTAGTCCAGCAGATCCAGGAGTTGCTCTGACAGGCAGCTCTGCTCTGTCATGTCATCAATTTTCACATTCTGATTGGTTCCAGTTAGTCAAATCATGTTTGTCATTTAATTTTCTTCAGCATTTCTTTTAATCAGTTCATTCATTCTCTCAATCAGCCCAGCAGCTTGTGGATGATAAGGAATGTGATAAATCCATTCAACATGTTTTTCAGCTGACCAGTCTTTCGCCTGTTTTCCAGTAAAATGGGTCCCATTATCTGTTCGTATCTGAAGGGGAACCCCATAAAATGATTCTATCATACTAAGACATTTTAAAGTAGATGTCTGATTTGCATATTTACAAGGATGAGTCACCAACACACCTGAATATGTATCTACAAATAATCAGACAATTCTTCATACATAACCACTTCATGCAAAAATTGTCAGCAATTAACTTTTATTTATTAAAAAAGAAATCCTTCTTCTAGTCTTGGCCCCACTCAGAATATTTAGCTCATCAGTTTCTCCAAACTGAGGTTGTTCTAAAGCCTATGTGCAGCAGGTAAGATATTACTTGTTCATAAATTTTTCCACAGAACCCCTCTTGAAAAGAGCTGAACTTTTACTTTAAATGTGAAACAACTGCAAAACAAGATGGTGAATTTTTTTCATCTCAGATATTTTTAGATACCTCGAGTTGTTTTAGATGCCGTCAAAACTTCAGCTGCAGATGAACCATTTATAAACAACATATGATGCACTTCCTTCAAAGCAGCCAGCTTAACACATCCCCTTTAAGTGCTCTGATGACATTTTTTTTAGACATTTCAAATCCACCATTTTCCCTTCAACCATCTTGGCTTTAGGCATTTTAATTCATCCTTTGTGGCCCTCAATGTCAACGTTTGGGCCTTTAATGTCAACATCAGGTGTTTTAATTTCTCCTTTGACCTTTGGCATTTTAACATCAATATCACCTTCAAGTTTGGGGCCTTTTAATTTAACATCAAAATCTGGGCTCTCTAAATCTGGACCTTTGATGTTCAATGTTGGCAATATCTGCTCAGAAGGTTGATGTCAACTTCTGGACCTTCTACTTTTGGCCCTTTTAATCCAAATAATGGCTTCCAGCCCTCAGCTCTTCTGCTGACACACCATCCATCTCAGCTGGAGGCACTCTTGTCTGTATTAATGCCCTCCAGAAAGCAGAACGAGTAGGTTCCTGCATGTTTTTCCGGCCGTCCCTTCTCGGCCCACGACCCATGGGTTAACTAAATGTTTGTTTGTTTTTTCATGGTTTTCAGCTCTGTGTTTCTCTCTATGTTCCAATCTCCGAGTGCACCCAGTTTCAACACTCGGCTTCG